CCTGTGTGTGTGTGTGTGTGTATATATATATATATATATATATATATATTGTATTTATATTCAAATTATTAATGTAAATTAAACATAGTTTTAATATTGGTTATACTGATAATTTAAAATATATTACAAATATTTTAAAGCTACATGGTAATGTCTTAATGTATTATTTAACACACACACACACACACACACTAATCAAATTATCATTTAAATTTATTAAAATTATTACAATTATTTATACTTTAAAACATTGTATATCCTCGAATATTTTTTTTTAAATTAAGTAAATATCGAAAAAGAGTTCTGAAAGATGACTGAGTTCTGCAAAAACTCCCTTTAGCAAAAACTCCCTTTATTATCAAAGAAGCTAAACTTCATAAAGAATTGCTTATTTACATTGTGTCTGCACTTTCTGTCGATATAACAAGAGGATTTAAAGGATGTCACAAAAGGCACAGAAAGAAATAAACCAAGTCATTTATCCATGCACAGTACTTTCAGTCGCACGTCAGTGACAGAAGCCAACTGTTTTGTATTACAGTGAGGAGTACTTAGTTGATCGCTTCAACAATAAAAGCAGTTTGCAGCTGCAGTATCTGCACTTGCTGCAATGTATAATTAGATCCAGATGATGTCAATCTAATGGAGTAAAGCACTATCTTCTCTAATTACCTCAGAAACATCCCTCTTCCCAACACTACATGTTCTGCCATCAGCTGTGGGATGTTTAAAGCTGAGATGGACAGAGTTATTGTTTTTGATCATGTGTAAATAAGCAGTGCAGAAGATGAGGTTCATAAAAGGGCACATTCAAATCAAAAGTGAGCAATGAAAGGGCAGTGCAGGTTTATGCCTATGATAAAGCCATAAAAGCAAGCTTTATATTTTCATTTTAATTGCTCTACCTTGACATAGACTCAGCATTCAACAGTATGTCGAAAGCTCCTTTTATCTAAACCCAACATGACCGGCTTGTGAAATTAGTCACCTGGCGGCTTAGAAGCTGACACATGCAAATAACCTCATAGCTATTTACATAAAAATAAGCCACTTCAGCTAGAGTGTTGATCTTTATTTCCCTTCCAATCAAACAGATCCAAAATCACTGTCCACGCCTCGCCGCCTCATTCTTCTCCTTCCATCTTTACACAATGCAAAGCAGGACACCGAATGAAGAGAGATAATTTGTGTGAATGTCATTCAGGTATGACAATTCTGTGTTCCTCCCAGATGTCCACCTGTTCTTCTTTATCTCTCTTTCATTGTTTTTCCTCTCATTTAATGACACACTCCAATCCAACACACCTGCTGAGATGCTAAATTTAGACGCATTTTTGCCCCGTCTTCTGTGGCGACCCCTGTGATGTCTTTTACTTAATGGATTCTGTTTGATGGTTAATCACAAAATCATCAGTAGGATTAAATCCATGTAGATGTTGTTTCTCAGAAATACTATAACAAATGCATAAGGCTTGATGGCTTAAGTCAAAAGGGCCCACCTCAAGTCTTTTGATATTCAGGTTCCATCACATGCACAATATATGAGCATATTAGAGAAATTTCTTGAAGGATCATGGGACACTGAAGACTGTAGTAACGGTAGTATACATTTACATTATTTCTCCTGGCTAAGTAGTAAACTTTTACGTTAACCAGCCACAACACCCTGCACAGCAACACCTTGGCAACCATCCAGTGTTAACTTTATGTATATTATTTATATACTATTATAGAGTTTATTCATATTTTGAATTTGTTTTTATTTTTATATTTTCAGTTTTCAAAAATTAATGACCCTACACAAATATTTTTTACACACACACACACAGACAGGTTTGTTTTTGTGAAAAGTGGGGACATCCCATAGGCGTAATGGTTTTTCTACTGTACAGACCGTATATTCTATTGCCCTACACCAACCCTACCCCTAAACCTACCCCTCACAGGAAACTTTGTGTGTGTCTGTGTGTGTTCATGCATGCAGGGGTGCATGCTGTGGATCACTGGATTCAGTGTCTTCTTGTTCTGTGCAACTTTGATCCTAGTAACCTATACATCCTCTTCCACAACAGAACCTCTGCTGTGGCATAAATCAAACAAAAGCACTGCACAAACACATGCCATACGATGCATCTTAACTCCGGTCACATTCATGAATGCATTCAATTGTGAAATCAATCCATCATATTTAAGTCTGTATATTATTTAGAGTGTGTTTGTGTGTTGCTTGTATAAGCTGATCTGAAGCTCAATGTCTTTT